ATAATGTGACCTGTCTGCAGGCAAGAAACGTTCGACTCTTGCTCTTGCATGTGTAGGATCACACTGCAGGTGTGCCAATGCAGACATCGAGCTTCAAGTTGTGCGACACAGGACCTATGCCAAGCGAGTGGGCGGAGCTCTCGAGATGGAGCACATCACGGAGACGTGACTTATTCGCTAGAGATGGGCAGTTGTCAATAAGAGCAATGCGGAGACTGGGTTAGTAGGCGAATTTCAAAAATGCCTGCCCTTCACTAAGGTGAGGAATGCACAAATCACATGCAGGTACGTAGTCCTGGCCCCAGTGGAAACTTGGATGAGAGGCCACTACATGTAGTTTCCTCGTCTGGCCATCCCGGCTGACCACCGGCATGTGGGCGACCGAGAGGACCGGGACAGCCACATGTGGCTGTCCCCCTTAGATACCATCACCCTTATCTGGTGAGGAACACGCATGGCGACAGATAGATAGATAGATAGACAGACAGACAACACAACAATACCATCGGGTCTGTCGGGTGCTGTGTGCCAGGAGGGGCAGGCGAAGCCGCCGCGTCAGGGGCCGCCGTGCCGTGGCCCTTTGGCGGTCGAGGTCGTCACCGGCGCTCCTCATGCGGCACCGGCTCATGCAGGTCAGTGATGGCACACATTACAGACATACACATGCAGAGAGGCGCACAATGACGCCTGGACAGGTGAGTGTGAGAGAGGCAGGCAGCAGCCGGGCGCACTCACAAAAGGTGTTCCTTCAGGTTGGGTCAGGTTGGGTATTGAGAGGCGGCGTGTGCGGCAGCTGTTCCTCAAGCGCCGCCAAGACAGACAGCACAAGACCTCACCCGACAAACCACAAGAGCCACCTCAGCCAGCCGCCCCGCAGCCCCCGCAGCACCCACAGCCGCCCACCGCCCGATGTAACATCATCATCCATGATGACTTCGACGATATTTGCGATGACGTTGGCGCCTTCGCTATTCTCGCCACCCTGGCCGTCGCCTGGTGAGGATCCCGCCTGACCCCTCCCATACACACGCACACAGCACCTCATTTACTCATCGGGCGTGTGTGTCTCAGGGTGTGGCAAGCGCTGTGCCGTGTCGGTCGGTGGATCATGGCCGCCATGTGCCCACCCCCACCCCGGCGAGCCGACCGACGAAGCCGCCGCTCCGCCGTCATCCGCAGACACGTCACCGCTCCAGCGGCCTCCATGATAGCACACGTGAGTTGGGGCACGATATGCGTTGTCGACAGCACTGTAATGCTCTGCCCCGTGTGTGCATCCATCACGCAACAGGACACCGAACGCCGCTTCAGTTGGGGAGAGATGACCCGCGGGGCGGCCGGCATAACGGTGAGCAGATGGCCCCACACAAACGCCATTCTATCCACTGAAGTGAGAGGGAATCTCTGCTGGTTTGTTGGCTGCAGGATGCCGACCTGACGAGGGATGTGGGCGTGTAGGTCGGGCGGCCCCTGGTGAGACACAAGCTTCACGAACAGACTTACCAGTGCAGACCACACATGAAACCCTCTCTCTGTTTGGTCTGCGACAGGTGCACTACCTCCCCGACATCCCCCTCTACCCGGCAGCGGCACCGCCCCCCGCACTGGTCCCAGCGCCCATCATCGTGTACCACCCGCCCATCGTGGACTGGGTGCCGCTGCCGAAGAGGGAGAGCCGACGGGCGGCGGAGCTGGCCAAGAGGCGCCGCGAGGAGGCCGACCTGCTGTGGGCGGAGAGGGGGTGCTGGCTGTGCCTGGCCTGCCTCGCCATTTTCGGCCGCTTCCTGAGAGAGGGCGGGGGGCTGATCGAGTAATCGGAGGAAAGCAGAGTATCGCCGTCTACATTTTATATTGGTGGCATCGGTGTAAGCTGCGGTCTGCAAAGTCGTGTGTCATGTCTCTCTACCGACCAGCACAAGACCACATCGCTATGAGACACACAAGGGTACGCAGCACTAGGCCCTTCACTCCTCCTCTCCTTCCTCGATGATTGTCTTTGGCAAGCAGGTGAACTTCCAGCTGGTGTGTGTGCTGCTCCTCTTCGTCACCATATTCATGACAGGGTGAGCACACTATACACACACCATCCATCCATCCGTCCATCCATCCACCGAGGCTATCCATGTGTCTTTGGTTGCAGGGCGGTGGTTAGCATGTATGCCTTAACGAAGCCGAAGAATACTCGCCACCGATGCAGAGGGAGGGGGGCTCGGCTGGCCCTTCGACGGGCCAAGTCGTCCCCCTCCCTGCTGACATCGGCCATCCCTCGCCACACTCAGCAGCACCAGGCGGTGAGCGAACAGTGCACAACGGACAATGCACACCACCGAAACACAGCACACCGAATGAATCCATTCGCCTCCCTTGGTGTGTTGGTACATACATACAGGCCGGGCCAATGTACATGCCGGCCCACCCCGTGAATCCAAGAGTGGCTGCCGCACGACCCGCCGCCCCCGCAGCCGTGCCTGCCCCGGCCCCCATTGTGATAGTGCAGCCCATCTACTACGTCCAGCCCGTCTACTACATGCCGTCCCCTCCCCCGCCCCAGCCCGCCATGGGCTGGAAGCCACTCCCCGCCATCGAGTAGGAAATTGCCAAGAAACAGCAAAAGAGAGACCACTTAACCATCAGCGGCTCGAGACGACCATGTTGATAATTAAGAGAAAAGTGGCGAGCTCTCCGGGGTCGGCTGCAGGTGAGTGGAGACATGTGCAGAGAGCTGTCCCGTCACACACACGCATCTCATCTGTCCGTGTGTGTGTTCAGACATCGCTGCTTGCATTTTATATTCGACGACTGATCATCGACATGTGGATGTGCCGTCAGAACATGTCTCTCTGCGCGTAAGGAGGCGAAGACACAAAGAGACATCAAGGCGTCCTCTGTGTGTGCACAACACGTAGAGAGAGTTTTGAGCCGCACGGCGCCATCGGGCGGGGTGGAGACCGGCTATGTCAAGTGGGAGCTGGAGACGATGAGACGGTGGCTGTTCATCAAGCCGGTGAGGGGAAGAGAGAGAAGAGACAAGGAGAAGGGCTGGATGGGAGATGTGTGGTTTGTGTGTGCAGGACACTTCATTTGCAGACCCTACTGCGACTAACGCCGAGGTCGACCATGAGATTGTCACAGGTCAGCCAACCCACCAGCCACAACACACAGAGACACACATGGAGCTCATCTCACCTCTGTGTGTGTGGGTCGATGGATGTGTGTCAGAGTCTGACCCGTCGGTGTCTTCCGTTGGTCCCGACGTCACGGCCGCACCGCACGCCGGGCTGCTGGTCGAGGACCAGCCACTCGCCACATCCATGCCATGTATCTCCTTGTCTGATTGGTCTGGTCAGGTACGCTCTGAAGGGCACTGTGTGGGGCAAGGAGCATGGCCCCTCTCACGTCGGCAGCATGGAGTACACCCCCCTCATCCCGCCCGAGTGCGACCCCGTCGGGGGCGACGCGGCAGCGATCGTCAAGCTGAACGACCACTGGCACCTGCACCGGCACAATCACCTTCCCGGCCACAAGCAGAGAGAGCCCGACGTGGGCAGCGAGATGGCCCTCGTTGCCCACGAGGGCCATCAGGGGCAAATCGAGGGGTTCACTCTCATTGGGACGACGCGGCAGAGACAGCCGCACCCGCCACATGCAGGAACCAACGAGAAGCGGGGCGTCGGGAGGGAGGGCGTGCGTGAGAGGGAGACAAGGCCGCCATCCACCTTTGCACCTCATGTGCCGCCAGACATGCCTGCTGTCCCTGGCACCACTGGCCCGCAAGACAGACAGACAGACAGACCTTCGCACGCGGCTGCGGGAGTGCGCCAGACGGCGGGGTCTGACGGTCTCTCTGCGGTGTCGTCACCTTGTCAAGACCAAGTGAGGAAGGCGATGATGGATGTGGAGGTGGTGGTTCGATTGGATTGTGCGTGTGTGTGTGTGCAGTGCTGATCTGTCCACCCCGCAGCCGACGGTGATGACTGGGATGATTGAGATGATGGGCATGGCGATCAACAGCCTTCAGCAGCTGTTCATCCCCCACGGCTCAGTCATGTTTGGCGGCATGCACGACAGACAGACAGATCTTCGCACGCGGCTGCGGGAGTGCGCCAGACGGCAGGGTCTCACCATGTCGCTGCGGTGTCGTCGCCTCGTCGAGACCAAGTGAGGAAGGCAATGATGGATTACTGATGAAGGTGGTGCTTCGATTGGATTGTGTGTGTGTGTGTGTGCGCAGTGCTGATCTGTCCACCGCGGGCCTGAACACCGCCACCCAGAGGGCCGTCATGACCGAGAGCGAGACGGAGGTGTATCCTCTGCCCAGACGAGCCAGGACGTTCCGGGAGCTGAAGCAGGTGGTGGTCGGCCGGCTGTCAGGCACGTCGCTGCTCGTACGACTGATACTGCTCATCTTCGTCACCATATTCATGACAGGGTGAGAAAGAACCACTATACAAACACCATCCATCCATCCACCGAGGCTATCCATGTGTCTTTGGTTGCAGGGCCGTGGTTAGGATCTATGCCGTAATGAAGCCGAGACGGACCCGCCACCGGTGCAGAGAAAGGGGGGCTCGGCTGGCCCTTCGACGGGCTAGGTCGTCCCCCTCCCTGCTGACATCGGCAATCCCTCGGCACACACAGCAGCTGCAAGCGGTGAGCGAACAGTGCACAACGGACAATGCACACCGCCGAAACACAGCACACCGAATGAATCCACCTCCCTTGGTGTGTTGGTACACACAGGCCGGGCCGATCTACGTGCCGGCCCACCCCGTCAAACCTCGTGTGGCCGCTGCACGACCCGCCGCCCCCGCCCCCGCGCCCGCAGCCCTGCGTGCCCCCGCCCCCATCCAGCTGATTGCCCAGCCCATCTACTACATGCCGGCCGTCTACTACATGCCGCCCCCTCCCCCGCCCCAGCCGGCCATGGGCTGGCTGCCACTCCCCGCCATGGAGCACGCCCGAAAGATGGAGGCGTACGAGAAGCTCATGGCGGAGGGGTGGTGTTCTCTGCTGGCCTACATGGCAGCATAAGGCCACGTGTTGGCCGGAGGGTTACGTGGAGACACATCCGGAGAGGCACATGGTTTGAGAGGCATAATGATGCCAGGCTGTCTGTGTGTGTGTACTGTGTCGGTTCGGCTGACAGGACAACATCACTGAGCGTCCCTCGTCCAGGTGTGTAGGTGAGAAGCCACAATTTCTTACGCCCCTTTCTCTCTTTTTCTGTGTCTCGATGTGTCGTGACACATCTGTTCAGACATCGCTGCCTCCATTTTATATCTGGGGACTCGCCAACAACGCCATGTGTGTCTATCCAGCAGCGGCAACGAACGGAAGCGAGCGACAATGGAAATCACCAGAACCGTTGCTTTTGTGGGCCCTTGCTGCGCTCGGCCCATTCACGTAAGGACACGCACAGCGGATGTGGGGATGGATGAGATGCACCTGCACGGTGATGGCATGTGATGATGATGTCCTTGTTTGCCTATGCATTCAGGCTAAATCAACCCCAACACTTAGTGACGGTCTGCGAGGGTGAGATCATGATGCATTCACAGAAAAGGAGAGAGATCCTGTGGACGGCAACCATAGTGCGTGTGTATGTGTTGTGTCTGCTCCAGACTGGGAAGGGAATGCCCGCTGCTGCCAAGGCATCGCGGGGATACACTGTAAGGCGGAGGGAAATACCGACAACCCGCCCGACTCTAGCCACATCTCATGCCCGAACCCGGACGCCAACAAGCCCCCGCACCGACAGCAGACGGGGAACTCGTTGTGCACCAGGGAACGGCTGCTGACCACCGGCATGTGGGCGACCGAGAGGGCATCCCACCGCAGTCGCCCATCTCAAATCGACTTTATTCGGGATTGGGACCTCAGGCAACAGTCATGGAACTCGTTCGTTCGCTCGTTTTCGTCGGGGCGCTGGCCCTTGCGGCTATCACCTTCACGTAAGAATACACAGCGGACCACTGAACAGCGTGGATGAGATGCATCTGCACGCTGATGGTAAGTATGGCATGCCGTCCGTCCTTGTTTGCCTATGCTCTCAGCAAGAAGCGTCCTCAACACACGTTGACCGTCTGTTCCCCAAAGAACGCACGAGAGAAATGCAGGTGGGCACCAGACACTCTCACTGAGCCCTTTCTTACAGATCAACAGATCAAAAGATCAAGAGAAGCTGTGCGTGTGGAGCAGCAGCAACAGCAGCAGCAGCGGGAGTCCTCACCAGAGATCTATGATGAATTCGACGATATTTGCGATGACGTTGGCCTCTTCGCTCTGCTCGTAACCCACGTCGTCGCCTGGTGAGGATCCCGCCTGACCCCTCCCATACATACGCACACAATGCGATGCGCCATTGACTAACCGGGCGTGTGTGTTTCAGGCTATGGAAAGGAGTGTGCTACGTCAATGATTGGATCATGGCCGCCATCTGCCCACCCCCACCCCGGCGCGCCGACACACGGAACCGCCGCCGCCCCGCCGTCATCAGGCGCCAGATCACCACTCCAGCGGCCGCCATGATAGCTCACGTGAGTCGGGGCACGATATGCGTTGTCGACAGCACTGTAATGCTCTGCCCCGTGTGTGCATCCATCACGCAACAGGACACCGAACGCCGCTTCAGTTGGGGAGAGATGACCCGCGGGGCGGCCGGCATGACGGTGAGCAGATGGCCCCACACAAACGCCATTCTATCCACTGAAGTGAGAGGGAATCTCTGCTGGTTTGTTGGCTGCAGGATGCCGACCTGACGAGGGATGTGGGCGTGCAGGTCGGGCGGCCCCTGGTGAGAAACAAAACAAGCATCACGAACAGACAGACCAGTGCAGCCCACACATGAATCCCTCTCTCTGTTTGGTCTGCGACAGGTCAACTACCTCCCCGACATCCCCCTCTACCCGGCAGCGGCACCGCCCCCCGCACTGGCCCCTGCGCCCATCATCATCGTGTACCACCCGCCCATCGTGGACTGGGTGCCGCTGCCGAAGAGGGAGAGCCGACGGGCGGCGGAGCTGGCCAAGAGGCGCCGCGAGGAGGCCGAGCTGTTGTGGGCAGAGAGGCGCTGCTGCCTGTGCCTGGCCTGCCTCGGCTGCCTCTGCTGCCTCGGCCGGCGCTTCCTCTGAGTGGCCTGGGTGGAGGGGGGATATCAAAATATCTGTGCTTGCTTAGTTTAGTGATATTTGTGTGCTGTATTGTGATGTGTTGTGCTGTGTGGGTGTGTGCGGGTTTCTTTATGTTTATGTTTTATCGGCGTCTGTCCGTTTATGCCATTTATGAGAGTGCCCAGAGGGTGTGTGTTTTCTCTGTTTTCTTTGTCCATTTATCGCTGTGCTGCTGCTGTTTTTTCAAAGCCATATATACATACATACACACACATACATACATCACTGGTGGAGTCTGTCTGTGTGTGTGTGTGTGTGTGTGTGGTGGTCCTTTCCCCTGTTGCACCCGCCCACGTATCCAACAAACAGCACCTCTGAGACCCTCTCTATGCCCCCCCACAAATCACGTGCCTCCCAACCATCCTCTCATCCCCCTTGTCGAGGCGGTGCTGCGGCGCTGTAGTGTGTGTGTGTGTGTGTTCTGGATACCTGCATGCTGGATGCCCCACCCCCTTCATGACAGACATGACTACGATTTATCATGTCGGCTGGTTTCTGGTCTGGCTGCTTTGTGTGGTTTCTGGTTTCTGGTATGCATGCTGGAGACGATTTATCAATCCAGAACGGGGGCGGAGTTATATGGATATCAGGAGTCAGTGGAACCTGATGAGCAGCACCCCAAGGTCAATCCCACGACTACGCAGAAACACGCTCATTCAGATGCATAGGTGAGACGTATGGGAGACACGGAGACAGCGACGTGGGTGTGATGCGTTGTGTTGTGTTGTGTGTGTGGTTCTAGTTTATTGATGGCCTATGGCAGCGGACGGTCTTGGCGTTTCCCTTGACAACGTTGCCGCACCTCTACAAGGAGCGATGTGGGGTGCCCCTGCACCTCTTTGGAGAGCCGTCCATGATCCTCGGCATATTCGTCAGAAACCCAACGGTCAGCCCGACAGTTAGTGGGAGACAGGCAGACACTTTTGGTGATGGGTCCGTGTCTTCTTTCAGGTGGCTGCATTGTTTTGAGGGCCAGGTTATCGCTGCCTCCATTTTATATTCCGTGTGTCACTGACTCCTTTACATGCGTTTTCTGTCTGCCGTTTTTGTTTTGTTAATGGGCGAAGGTCGTGAGCTCTTGTGCGTGCGCATCTCTTTGACATTTCACATACATGCACCTGTCATTCCCACTCATTGTTTGTCGAAACGCAGACGTGCAGCCAAACACCCACTCCGCTCGCCCGCTCCCCGCCAGACAGTCAGCTACTTGTGTGTCCTCGCTTGACGTCATCCAGCCAGCCTGCAGAACACACACCAGCAAACACACAATGCACACACACATCAGGTCCTCTGCATCATGTATGTGGCTCTCACCTTCATGGTCTACGGTGCCTGGCCGTCGAAGACGATAGCTGCGATGGGGCCGAGGACGCGGCGGGCCTTGGTTGCCGTCAGGAGGATCATTGGCCACCCCTGCTGCTGGCGCTTCGCTGGTACGGATGATGATGCTCACTGCACGCAGCCATGAGCACAGAATCAGACACCACGACAGCACGATGACAACACACGGTGTTGTTGAAGTGCAAGCGTACCGTTCTGGTCGTTGTCGCCTGGAGGGGTGCGGAAGGCAATCCATGCGATGAAGGGGTCATCGGACGAGGTCAGCACATGCGACTGCCCACACCCCCCACCGACCATCTCATATGCCACCACATCTGAGCATCCGTCGAGGGGCGTGTCAGGAAATTGGGTCACGATGCGATCCAAATAACCACCACGCACGCGCCTGACATGCACACACGTTTGACACATAGCGAGGCGTGCCATCCATCGTCATTCACTCACCGGTCTACCACCACCGTTGGCGAGTTGGAGATGCCGCCCACAGCCGTCCTCCGGTGAAGCAGCATCCGCTGCTTCAGAAGGGAACTCGCTGATGCTTTAACCTGCCTATGGTTGGCACCGACCGTCGTCCAGCCCACACCATTCTGCCACCCAATGCGGCAGCGGGCTGGCGGGTCGTGGGGCTTGGCGTGTTGCTGGAAGGGGTGCTGTGAGAAGGGATGGATGGGGCGGGTGGGGTGGGGGAGGGGCGGGTTGATGACGATGGCGAAGTTGGGCCCATTGCGGATGGCGCGAATTTCACGGTTGTGGCGGAACAGCTCGAGTGTGCCGTCATGCTGGCCGTTGGGGCGACGGAGGGCCACACGGCGGCCGACGAGCATCCACTGCGCACAGAAACGGGGCAGCGACAAGAAGTCCTGAATGAAGACCACACACACACACACATCCAGCAGCTCACCCATTGCCTCTTCTGTGTGTGGTGCTTACCGCCTTGGTGGGGTGTGTCTGCAGATCTCCGGCGCCCACAGTGACCGGCAGCTGGCAATAGCCGAGATGCTCGGAGAGTCTGAGTGTGTCCGCCGCCTCCCCCCAGCCGCCCTCGCCCCCCTCCTCCATCACCCACATGGCCTTCAACACATCGCCGTGGCTCAGCTGACCGTCGAACTGCACCACACCGCCCACCCCCGCCCGCTCGATGGCCTTCCGCAGCCGAATATTGCGGCTGATGGGCCGCAGGGCGTTTCTGAAGTGGCGGGCTATGGCTTTGAGGCGGGCGATGCTGGTGACGTCAGACAGTTCGATGATGGTCATCATGGCGTCGGGGGGAATGTCAGTCAGGTCATCCTGATGACACGGACGACACACGCAGCCGTGTGTGTGCGTGTGTGTGGGTATATTTGTGTGTATGTCATTGTGTGGTCTCTCACTCACCTGTCTAGGCGTATGTCTTGTGAGTGCGATGCTATCCGCCAGCTGGGCCAGACAGGCCGATGCAGCCGCCGCAAGGCGAGTCACCTTGGCCACCATCTGACGAACGAACGAGGCACACGAGAGACCATGACACACAGCGGCCGCTGTGTGCTGTGGTTGGCAGTCTGGCCGCACCATGTGTGGTAACTGCAGCAGTGTTGCTCTGTAGGAGCTGGTCGATGCCACTGTTGACCTGCACACCAAACACACACAAGCAACACAAGCAGCCGAAAAACCGATGGGCGACATGGATGGATGGATGGATGGATGGATGAGCGGGCCGGGTGAGTGTGTTGTGCTTGGCTACCTTCTGCTGATGGACGAGGTAGGCCTCTAACTGCGCCAGCATCGCCTGTTGCTGCTGCATCCCCATTGCGCCGATCTGCACAAAACACATAGATAGCCCATGCAAATGATGATTGCGCCATGATTCACGTGCTGATTCACGTGCCTTGCCTGGCCTTGCTCACCTGAACACCACCACTGTCATCCACCGTCGGCAAAGCTATGAGTCGAACCGCTGCTTCGGGACTTCAGCAGGCTCTACACTCCTCTGACGCCATCTCTTTGTCGTTCTCCCCTTCGGGGAACACTTCACTTGCGAGCTCACCGCGTGGGGGAAGTGAGGCGCAATTCCGCCGGGCAGGCATTGCTGAGGTGTCCTGGGCATCGCTGATTACTCTCTCTCTCCGCATCTTCCCAATGGACGCGGCGTCTTCCCGCTCGGCACCTCCGATGCTTGTCCGCCGCCCTTCCCCGCACCACACAGCAGCGCCAGACACAAGGAGGAAGGCGTCACGCCTCCTCCCATCCCGCAGACACCACCTTTGCCTCGTCGTGCTCGTCGCCACATGCTGCTGCCCGTCCACTCACTCTCTCGTCCTCGACAGCAGCAGCAGATCCGGCTCACCACCAGCAGCCTTCCTGTCGTCTGCCACCCCACTAGCGAGGCTGCGGGAGCGGTCCAGTAGGGGCGCGACGACACTCTCAGCTCTTCAGAGTCCCGTGACGCCAGTGCCGGTTGGCGACAGTGACAACAGGATTTTTCGCCTGCGTAGCGGTGATGAGCTTGAGGACTTCCTGCAAGAGTGAGTGAGGGCGCGGCAGAGCGGGGGCGAGGACGCATCTGTTGGCGGGCTGGCAGCCGCATGGATAGCTCGATGTCTTGTTGTCTCTCTGATGTGTGTGTGTGTGTGTCTCACCAGGCACAACAACAAGGTGGTTGTCCTGTGCGTCCAAGCCAAGTGGTGCCACTCGTGTGCGAAGCAGGACGTCTTATTTAAAGAGGTCAGTGAGTCACGCACACACACACACCCCGAGGCGTCCACCTATGTGTGTGTGTGTGTGTGATGGTGTGGTCCTCAGGTAGCTGACCAGTACACCCAGGGCGGGTCTGACGAGGAGGACGGCAGCGCCGACAAGCAGGCCAAGCCTGCCCTCTTCGCCGTCATGGACTTCGACGACAACAGGGAGTACGTGCAGAAGGAGCTGGGCGTGAGGGCGCTGCCTTACGTGCAGATGTACGCCGGGGCGGCGGGAAGAGTCGAGGAATTCCCTTGCGGTCAGTGAGTGACACAGGGACCTGGCCGCGCATAGATCTGCCTGCTGCAGTTGGTATCTTGTGTGTGTTGTGTGTTGTGTGGTTGTGTGGTGTGCAGGTCCGTCGAAGATCCCCGAGTTGAAGGCGAAGCTGGATCTGTACACGGGCCGCAAGAAGGAGAACCCCTCGGCCATCGCCCTCTTCCCCAAGTGGCTTAACAAGGCGTGATGGAGGGATTTCTCCCTCCGCAACACCCCCTCCCTCCCCGCCCACCAGTAGAGTCGGTTGCTGCATGCTGCATGCGGTTTTGCTGCTGCTGCTCTCTCTCTCTCTCTCTGAGCGTGCGTGTGTCTGCGTGGATGGCCCGACACCCCTTCTGCGTGCCGTGTGTGCCGTGTGGGGATGGCTTTTGAGTTTTTAAGTGCTGTGACGGATACATCCACTGAGAGCACCGAGGGCCATCGAGTGCGAATTAGCGGTTTGCTCGCTCTGTAGGAAGAGAGCAGAGGGCCGAGAGAAGAGGCTGTGGGGCGGCGATGCGATGCGATTGGCCGTCCGTCCGTCGATCCATCTGTTTTGCTCACGACACGAGTGTGCATGGATTCGTGTCCATGTGTGGATGAGAGCAGCACATGGCGACAGAGAGGCCTCCCTCTTTTGCTTTTTGTTCCATCGTCGATGCGGTGAAAAGCGGGCGGCTGACTGCCCTTTTTCTCGGAGAGTCAATTCTCGTGCGTCCTTGCCTGTCCCATCCTGGAGTGTGGTTGATTTGTCTCTGCCAACATTTGCTGTCGACCAGCTCCAGGCCATGCCAGCATCCCCTTTTGAGCTCCTGGAGGCGGTGCTACCGTGGCAGTGGGGTGGTCGACAGGGAATGTTTGCGTCAGCCGATCGACGGGACACCTGCTGAGACTGTTGGCGTTTTGCCTTCTCTCTCCTTACGTAAGTCAGCCAGTAGGATCTTGTGTTGGACGCTGTCGTGACTGTGTTCCGCTGGTCGAGTTGCTGTACTTCAGGATCTCCCCTGCTCTTGTTTTCGAGCGGCAGGGGCAGTACCTCATGGGCAGCTGCTGCATCAGCGACCACAGCCAGACGGCCAGGG